GGCAGTGCTTCATATCAGAAGTATTTTTTTTTTCTTTCAGATTGGGCAAAAAAAACAAAAAAACCCACACCCTTTCTCAGCTATGTTTCCCAAATGGATTAGAGCAGGGGTCCCCAACCCTTAGTCCACAGCCCAGAGTCAGGCCGCGGAACTGGTGGGCGAGCACGTGCGCACATGCATACAAAGCTGTACTTGTGAAAGTGGCACGTGTGTGTGTGCAAAACCATCCCATCCCCCCACCCCTCCATCGCTGCTTCCACCAGTCCATCGAGCTGGAAAGGTTGTGGACTGCTGCATTAGAGACCAAATATATTGAATTATGCAGCAATCCATGATAGCGGCTAATATATAAAACAATGTTTAAATTTTTTAACATTTTAAGCATTTGATCACCTTTTTTTTCATTATCCATCTAACCCAGTTCCACCCATTTATTCCTGTATCTTTCTGAGATAAAAATTTAAAAACACTTTTGTAATCTACTATCACACCCATAAGAATTTATTAGAAGACAATGGCAAATTTTATCATTTAATCATGCCAACCAATGGGAAAATATATAGCATCCATCATGAATTATTTGATTTCATGTAAGTTCTTGTTAATTTAATGGGTTTATGTTGTCATAATATGCTTACAGACATCATATGAAGCAGTGAATTTTCAGCAGTGCTGAACTCTCTTTAATCTGGATTTTAAAAATTGCCCAATGTAGGATTTATAACACTGCTACCATCTCAAAGCCCAGCTCTAGAGAATACAATTTAATGGTTACCGTTTAATTATTTTAACATGAAACACAATTTCAGATTTGACAGAAACTGTTGGTTTATTGAGGTTAAAGTTTCTTTGTTATCTGGCTTCTTATAGATGATGAGATCAAGGGAGGGGTCAAATGTGTCATCAATCTGTGTCCCTCATGCCCACAAGATATCTAAGTCCACTCCACCTTGAATTCCTCTGACTCTTATCTACCACCATTTACTTTGACCATTAGTAGTTCAGATTCTTGTAGAGAAACACAAATAAACTAAGCATACAATAAATCTATATTCATTTGAACTGCCTGGACTCCTGATTTCCTGTGCTTAACGTTTCTTTACATCGTTGTTAGATTTTTAACCAAAACCAATTTTTATTTTATTTTATAATATCCTATGTTAAAATTGCATTTCTTATTAACACCCCCAAGTATATTTTATATTATATAAGAGCATAATTATTTGGATAACTGAAGCTGAATATAACAACATAATAAACAACATTGCATACATTGCAAGACATAAAAGTGGCTTTCTCAGGAATTTAAGGTGACAGACCCTTAACTGTAAAAATTTATGAGCAAAAACCCTAAAAGGATTTGTTATCTCCAAAGCAATGACATTTAACTGAATAATATATTGTTTTCAAACATAATATTGAACTATTTTAGCTCATATTTTAAAATCTTTAACGTTGAGCCAAAATCTTACCACTGAATAGCTAAACTCATTATTAGCACCGGGAAGGAAAAGTATTTGAGATGTCCCAAGAAACATAAGGGCAGAGGAAGTTGCCACTTTATAAAATTGGCATAATTTTCATAAAGAAAAATAAACTATAATAATGAATATGTAAAGCAATGAATCAAGAAAAAAGGCCATTTGAGAATTTGACACTAAAACAAGTAACAAATATACTATCAAATATAGTATTATCATGACATGAGCATTTTAGTGGAATATTTTGTGGCATATTAATTCTAGGAATAAGCCCATGTAGTACTTAAATTTTGCACAGATATGGAATTTTGATGCAGCTTTAATTAAGATAAACAAGCCTTTTCACTAAAAAGATGGGGAAATCTGAATGTATAAAAGTGACATCTGGTTTAGAACTAAAAAAAATATTTTGGATTTGGATTTTTTATTGTATATAATAATGTTAAGATAAATCACTCTCAAAATTCATAACACTTTTCCTGAGATGCATTAATTCAATAATCTATATGTGACAACCTCCTCAGACATGTTATATCTAGACAGAACACGGCTTTTGGCTGTATTGGTTAAATATTATAGGATCTAATCTAATAAAATCTAGAGTTCGAAAGACAGATGCCTTCCTTTTGTGCATACTTGGATTCAGCATAAATTTGAGCTTTTTTTGTGAAATAATGAAATTTGCAATGCAAGTCTTAAAAGGAAATGTATGGAAATCACAGTCCTATGATATTTGAAGTTTTTCCTAAATGAGTTCCAGACTAATTTCCATGACAGTGAAACTGTCCACATTTTACATTATTCGCATAGTTCACAGAGAAATATTTTCCTAAAACAACAACTAAAGATCTGTCACCTTCTTCCTTCCCTCGTTAAACTAAAAAACTAGTTAAAATAACAAGATACACCTGACAAATAAAATAAGAACAATCTACTAGTGCACAATAAGAACATGCAGTCACACTCTGCAATGTTTCAGTAACATTTTCAATTTTTGGAAAAAAAAAACATAGCAAATGACATATAGCTAGAGACAGTGCCCAAAATACATTACATTGTATTATGCAATATAAATCAGTAAAGCTGATTTAAAAAGTAACAAATTTAGAGTTTTCAGTTCAGCTATCAGAAACAAAACCAGCTCAATGTTTCCATTCTACTGTATGACAAACACCAAGTAACAAAATTTATGTCATTTAAAATACATCTTAAAGTAAATATTTTCCTTCAAGGAAAACACATTACTATAAATAAATTACAATACAGTGAATTTTCCTGAACTCACTTTGTTTCTGCTTTCCAGCCCTTAAAATAAAATAAAACAGCAAAAAAAGAAGAAAACCACCCCTTACAATTTCTGACATGATAGTCTTTTTTAATATAAAATAAGTTGTTTTCAGAGAAATCAGTTTCACAACAAGGAAAACCCAAGCCTTGCTGCAGTCACTATTAAAAAATATATGTGTATAAGTGTATCTACTTGTGTGTGAGGTGTGTGTGTGTCTGTGTGTGTACATACATATATATATATATATATATATATGGATCTTTGGTTATTTGGGTTTTCTCCCGTGTAAGATTGGAAGTATCTAGGCAACGTTTCGATGAAGTCTCATTCATCATCTTTAGGCTTGTGTCTTCGGCTTTGTGCTTCTCAGAGTAATGTGAGCTTGCAGCTGCTTCTTTCTTTTAACTGCTAGTGGGGGTGGGACTTGATTGGGTGGGGGCTTGGCTGTGTTCTGATTGGTTGGGGGTTTGGCCGTGTTCTGATTGGCTGGAGGTGTATTCTATTCAGGTGGGGGCTTGGTTGTGCTCAGGTTAGTCTTAGTTGCTGGGGGATTTGAGCTGGTGAGCTGTGATCCTGCTGTTTGGCTTCTTGTTAGTGCCGCATCTTCATGGTGGGTGTCAGTTCGCTTCATGTATGGCTCAGAGGGGTTTGAAGCAGGTAGTGATGCAGCTGCAGTGCGGCTTCTGGTCCGTGGTCGTGTCTCATCTTCTGTGTGGGTGTGAGTCTGCTTTCTACATGGAAGTGTGGTGGTAGCATCTTGTGTGGCCCTCGTGGGTGTGGGTCTGGTGTCATTCTTCATGTTAGGTACTCGTCTGTTCATGAGGGTGGGTTTCCAAATGGCTGGTAGGCGGGAGGTGTCATCTCGTTTATTCATGCTGTGTGGCCGTTTTTCTATCTCTATGGCTTCTCTGATTATTCTGTTGTTGGAAGTGTTCGGTTTTGGCAATAGTTCTGGTGTTTTTAAAATCAATCTCATGTCCTGTGGCTTTGAGGTGTTGGACCAGGGAAGAGGTCGGTTCTTCTTTTTTGATTGAGTTCTTATGTTCTTCAATGCGTGCACTTATTCTTCTGTTAGTTTGTCCGATGTATGTGGTGGGGCAGGCGGTGCAAGGGATTTCGTATACTCCTTGGTTTTCTAACTCGATTTTGTCTTTAGGGTTTCTTAGGATGGTGGATATTTTTCTGTTTGTGCAGAATGCTGTTTTAATGTTGTGTTTTTGGAGGATCTTGCTGATTTTGTCTGTAGTGCCTTTTATATATGGGAGGAGGGCTTTGCCGTTCTCTTGTTCTCTGTCTTCTCTGTCAAACCCCCAACCAATGAGAACACAACCCCCCCCAAATCAGAACACAGCCAAGCCCCCACCCAATCAAGTCACACCCCCACTAGCAGTTAAAAGGAAGAAGCAGCTGCAAGCTCACATTACTCTGAGAAGCACAGAGCCGAAGACACAAGCCTGAAGATGATGAATGAGACTTCATCGAAATGTTGCCTAGATACTTCCAATCTTACACGGGAGAAAACCCGAATAACCAAAGAACCACATACAAGTACCCGCGAGAACCTCAAAAAAACAAATATATATATATGTTTTTTAAAGTTTTCGCATATATATATATATGGTTTTTTTAAAGTTTTTGTTTTTAAGCTTTACATGTATGGTATTCAGCTTTGTTCGGGTATTTTCCCATGTCATTATAGTTGTGCTTTTAAAGTTGTAGCAACGTTTCGGCAGAATCTCATCTGCCATCATCAGGCTTCTGTATTGTGTTCATCATTTAGTTTAAACACAAACGGCTATGAAAGTCTGACTCACAGACAAACACAATACAAAAGCCTGATGATGGCAGATGAGATTCTGCCGAAATGTTGCTACAACTTTAAAA